TCTCTTTTTCTAGGAACTGAGACAGCCCTGTAGTAGGTTTATCTGGCTTTTTTGAGTGTCTCTTTTTGACTGTCTCATGAAATTAGTTTTGCAAGAGCTAGTCTTAATTTATATACCAATAGCAGTGTCCTACAATGTCTTTAGCAGTCATAGTTTTAAAATAGAATCTGAACATTTCCATTATGTCCTGCTGACACCTCTGTTGGCAGTTGGATATGGCCACATAGCTGTAAGTTGACCCTACCAGGTAGAGGACCAAAATCATACAATTATAAAAAGTAGCAATGTTTTTTACCCCATAGTTCACTGAAATTACGTAATTAAATTATTTGTTATGCTTATAATTAACAAATGATCAATGAGAACTAAAAAGTGCACCTGGGTTATCTGTGCCAGTAGTTGAGCTGGAGTAAGAGCTCTAGTAGTAACTGAAAAAATTCCCAAACTGTTAGTGATAACCAGGAATGGCAGATAAAGGTAGGTGAAGCTATTAAGAGGGGCTGATGTGCTAAGATCTCCTTTATTAAGGCATGTAAGATTAATCTGATATGTTGTACATAGTGTTTAGTCTAAAGAAACATGGGACCCTTTCAGCTAGAAAGTTATGAAGATTATCAAAAGGTTTTTTTTTCTTAATGTCTTTTATATACTACTATTTAGCATGACTAAATGAGGAGTGGCCTTGTGTAGAAACTATATCAATATTAGCTTCATTGTTTTATATTTCAGGCCATGAATAGCTTGTAGGCTATTTTTTTATAGCATGCCATTGTGAATTGAGACTAGATTTGGTCTGATTCTAAGCTGTAGAAGTATTGCTTTGTTTATTAAAAATGCCCAGGTGGAAAAGAAACTGATTGTACAGAAACTGTAATTTAGACTAGTAAGGTCCCAGCGCTGCAAGTTCAGTCCCTTTACCCAAACTATAATTTCTATACTGAATTAGTTTCAGAATTACGTTAACATAAATTGGAGACAAAATAGTTTCTTGGGGGTTCAGTATTGTCATACCTGGGCAATGACACATTTATCAACTACATAGATTTCAAACTCCTGAATGTGACTTTGCGTTGCCAGGTTATAAAATATATCTTGTTAAGTGTAGCATATTATTAAAGCAAACTTGCAAAACTGTAGAAGTGAGCCAGTGTAAATAACCTTTAATTTTCTCACTTTGCTGAGAGCTACCAGAAAATCTATAGCATATGATTGCTTTGTTTCTTTATCTTTTATCATTTTGCCTTCTTGAAACCATAGCTAGCCATAGACCTGTGATTGGGCTAGACTGTTTAAAAGAATGAAATACGTGGTTTGAACTAACACTGCACTCCCAAGTTTTTATTTCCAAAATGCCTGCTGCCTAAATTAGGGTATCCAAGCAGTCAGAGTAATTAGAGGAGCAGCATTCATGTAGCTGTTTATGTCTTCTCACCTCCTTTTCTAATAGAACTTGATAGTTTCTTGTGGCTATACTTCCTCTCCTCTTTTGTCCCTTCGGTGATACATCTATGTATTCCTGTTCATTGTTGCTTGGCTTTCATGTTAGATATTGACCTCAGTATCTGTTGATGGAGCGCTATGTCTCCACTTTATTCCTCTTTTGCCTGTTATTAAATCCACTGATTCTTTGGCATCCTTGGAAACCATTCTGTGCCCACTTTGCTAACAGCTACTCCTCTGCTTGTACTGACACAACAATTTTTGGGTAATACTGCTGATGTTGAGTCCAATCTGGATGTCTTATGTGTGCTGCCTCAGCCAAATATTACATGGCCAAATGAGCCCTTATTGCACACTCGCCAGTGAGGTCTTCATGTGGTAATTTTTGTTGCTGTTCTTTCTTTTGATTGTTTATTGGGAGCAAGGCTGGGGGTTGTTACTGTGACTTTTATTTACATATCCTTGTTTATTTCCTTCCAATGGTACCAATCTTGTATTCACAGTTTGCACTTTTTGTACTTCAATAAACACTCAAAGCCAATAACAAATTTTGGTGTGCTTCTCAATTTGTTATTCTAAGACTAGTTATTAAGAGATGCTTTTTAATAATAGGCACTTCCTATTGACTCCTATATTTTCAAGTATTGACTGCTTAATACTTGAAAACATAGAAACTATTTTTTTTCATTCTTAAACCTGTTGTATTGGTTGGATCCAGCACAATGTTCCTATTAAGTATAAATCAATGCTTATTAGATATCGTGTAGTCCATTTTATCTAGAATTTCTCCACTATGTTTCTCCACTAACTCTATTATGGCTGCTTTAATTAATTAGTTGCTTTCAGATCTGGAGTAATGTTACTACACATCCAAATATTTGTATGTATCTTCACTATAACTAAAGAGGAATAAATCTGAAATTAGGATCTCATTGATGGCTAACCTGTCCAGAATAGGCTCTTGCTACTTTTACCTTTTCTAGGTAATGATCTCACTAACTCTTGAAAAGAAAGCTAGAAAGCATCCAGCTTCTGAAGATAAAGTTTGGTCCTATGTGAAGTACATATATGTTCCTTTGAGGGAGGGCATATTTGCTTGCCAGGATTGAGGACTATTATAAAAACTAGAATAACGTCAACTGTGAGAACCATAAACTTTTCTTCTGTCCTATCCCTTATCTATATTTACAGCTAAATATTCCAAATTTGGATATAATCATATTGCTCTTTGGAATAAAAATGAAAATATTTATAGTGACTGGGAAATTGATATATTAAAAGTAAACAGGAAAAGGAATTTAAAAAAAATGTTAATTTTTTACTTTCACTCTAAGAAAATGATACATTGTGAGATAATTGACTAATAACATGAGTCTCATTGAAATTAGTGAGGTAACGGGAAGAATCACAGTATTTTAGTATGGTATATTAATATATTCTACCCATTGATGAACCGTTGTGTTGACACTTCAAAAATTCAAAAGTAGGGGACTGAATTCTGATTCTAGTACTATATTTAACTTTTAAAAAGTTTTGTTATCAAATAAAAAAATAGAAACTTGTAAAATGTCCATGAACTATCAATTAGAAAGCTTTTGTCTTTTTAAAAATCGGAACCTTCTTTTAGGATTTGGATATAGTCCTTCATAGCATAGAAATGCATCAGGCAAATGTTTATAATATGTGGCAAGAGTCACTTTATTTTTTCTAAGTATTTGCTCTCACAACCATTTTTCTTTTTTTTTTTTTAATTTCCAGAGAATTGCTTTTTTTAAATTTTCCATAGAAAATGCTGAGAACATGGTCCAGCATAAATATGGTTACCATGTTTTCTCTTTGGGGAACTGGGAGATTTCAAAGGGTAGAAATTGCTATCCAAATATTGCATTTGGTTCCCATGTGACATGTTGAGACAGTATGATTTTTGTTTATGGAAATTACAGCTGCAAAAGCCTTTTCTTCCTTATAACTGAGTATGTACTTAAACTGATATTAAGTCTTCTCTGGAAATGCACAGCCAAAGGTGTCCAACCCATCATCCATAGATTGCATGCAACTGCAATGTACTATATGGAGTGCCATGGAATGATTTCACTCTCTCATCTACCGAAGATAACTAAACATCTTAAGCTTTGCAGAAGCAAAATACATTCATTTTTGCCCCATAACATCTCCTCAGTTGAGCTGGGGAGCATAGCAGACGGGGAGGGATGTCACATGGGGAAAAAATTTTTAAGGCGGTGCTTCCCAAACTTTCCTTCATTACCTCAAATCACTTATCAGAAATTTTTTTTTACCCCATGTAGGTTAAACACTTTTAGTCAAATAAATGTCCCTGTCCCTGTCCCTGTCCCTGTGAATGGGTAATGGGTTTGTGTGTTGTTATCCAAAGAAAGACCACTTTTACCCAATTTTGAGTAATTTACCAGGTTTGCGAAGCACTGCCTTAAAGCATCCATTAATCCCCAAAGCAAAGTTTTACCTTGGGTACAAATGTTGATACTAGCTCGTAGTATCCGACACACCTGCATTTAAGGTTTTAGTATTTGCATTACATCCTAGTACGTAACTTTTTAATGTGTTTGTGATAGCTCTGAGATATGTGCATTCTGTAAACTACCAGTATGTGTACAAGCTAATTTCTGAGCTTTAATATGTGATTGATTTATTGTACAAATAGTGTACATGCACAGATTTCATTTACCCAGCTTTACCATAATGTTTCTGTACATAATATTGTATTTTCCTTAGAATTTAAATTGCACATATTTCTAGTATGGAAAAAATGAGACACTTTTATAGCATATATATTTATTAATGTAGTTATATAAATGATTAAAAAAATAAATCCACAACAAAAGATTCTTGCCAACCTAAAATGAAAATCTGATAGCATAATTAAATTAGCCTGTTTCCATTTTATGGAAGTATAAAAGTTGATGTAAATATTGACAAAGCTGGGCCTCTATCACAGGTTTATTAGTTACATTTATGTATATATTTACACTCAGATATGCTGCCTCCTATCACTTTAGATGGCTTCCGAGTACGTTTCTCTCCTGTTCTAAAGGACACTTCTAGACACTTTCATGTCTATAAATTGCTTTTGGAATATTTGAATTATTTTTTTCTCAAGTACTAATTCTCTAGTCTTAGTGTAATTTATCAAATTTCTATTTCATTAAACTGCAAGGGAGACAAGGTGGATGTCATAGAAAACCTTACCAAATTACTTCTGTTTCATAGCTGATCTTTTTCTTAAAAAATTATTTTTATTGTAATTTTCTTTTTCAAAATTCCAATACATAATCGAACAGACATAGCTGATCTTCTGTGTGTGTGTGTCTGCTTCTCATACAATCGTGTGCATTCGTACTTGAAAGTCTTATTGAATCTGGAGAGGCATATTTCTGAAAAAAAATGTTAGGAAAGGATATGAAAATGGCAATTCTAAAAAGAGTAGCTGAAGAGTTAGAAATTTGGCGGCTTTAACAGGAAGATAGCTCTTTGTTTTGCCTTGCTAATATCTGAAGTTTTGGTAGAAAAGACAATGGAACGGATGAATTTAAAGTAGCATAAAAGTTTTATTCGAAATTGTATGAATGTGTAGTGGAATATTTTGAATAGTGTTTCCAAATAAATGCAGGGGAGGAACCTTCATCCTTCAATTGACACTTTTGAATGTTGCCTGTTATGTATAAATTCTGATTCACAGCACTGTAATGCAAGTAGACAGAAATGTATCCTTTGAAGATCTATACCTGAATTCCTGATAAGAGGATTTATGTGGGAGAGTAAATTGATGTTTGTTAGGCAATGCAATTTTCTTCAAAAAATAAACAACCCAGACTCAGACAACAGCATCTTATAATATTATGTAAGCATATTTCTTGCTGTTTCCTATCCCCCGCAAGGACCCCAAATCTGTGAAGTTCTCAAAGGGTTATTCCGTTGGTAGAACATCAGAATCAGACCAGTGAATACAATCCAGTAGATATTTCAGTGTAAGAAAAACCTTGAACAGGAAATGAATATCAACATGAGTAATTTGTAATTCTATTCAAAGATATTGAAGTTATATTAATTTATCTGTATAATTTTGAACTATGAGAATAAATAGTTACGGGTAGTTCTCAACATACGACCATCATTGGGACTGGAATTTTTATCACTAAGCAATGTGTTACCTGAGTCATCAAGTAACTCAACTTTATGTCAATTTTTAACCATGGTTTTAAGCAAATTACGTGATAATTCAATGAATCTCCAAGACACTGCAACCAATGTAAAAGTGGGCCAGTTGTTAAACAAACAAATTGCAATCATGTGACTTTCAGTAGCAGTGGGGCAATGGTCGCAACTTACAGGATGGGCCTTAATGTCACTTTTTCATAGCTTTGAAATGTCAATAATGAATGGTTGTAACTCGAGGACTACCTATATTTGACTAAATTCCTTTAATCGGCACAGCATTTTAGTGTGAAAATGATGGGAGAACAAAATAAGTATTGTGACATGAATGCCAAGGTAAATGTGCAAAAAAAATTCTCTGTTTTGGCAGAGAAGTGACTTTTAGGAACATTAGGAAAATTAGAAAAACAAGCAATTTCCTTACCAGATATTATCATTTATAAGAATAGGCTCTCCTGTAGTCTGCTGGAAAAGCCAATCTTATTTAAACAAATAGCTCTACATCATCTGACATCTCATGAAGAATATAATAAGGAATGTTTTTTTTCCTATATTCATATATTTTGATTAGAAAGCTAAAAGGCTCAGGGAATCGAGCCCTATTTTATGCAGATATGACTATGGGGTGAAGCTGCTTTCTTGCAATCTATTTTTAAAAAGTTTTGATGTTTCTATCATTCTGAGCCCCAAAACAAGCACACACACCCTTGCTTAGGAGCAGTTTAGGTATAAACTTAGATGTGTGTTCTTCAGTGGACAGTGGTGGGATTCAGCTAGTTTGCACCCCTTCAGGAGAACCGGTTGTTAACTTGCTAAACAATTTGGCAAACTGGTTGTTGGAAGAAATCATTAGGGCAGAGAACCGGTTGTTAAATCACTTGAACCCCACCACTGTCAGTGGACCAATAATGTGTAACAACATCAAAAGTACTTCGAAAATAAATTTAAAAGATATTTTTCAGTCAATTTAAATAAATTTCTTACAGTTTGAGCCATTAAGATAAAATACATGCTAGAAGACAAAAGATTTAATTTTCTGCTCATTTCTGCAAAGCAGCAGGGAACAGAAAATTCCAGAGCCTATCTGAAAGATGTATACTGCCCTAATAATCTCCCCCCCCCATCACCCCATCTTAGACCACAAGCAAGCAAAACCTATAAGAGCAGAGCATTATACTTCAGGAAGTCAACATTCCATTATTTTAAACTGTAAAAATCCTTCATATCTAAAGGCAACAATCATACAAAAGCATCTAAGATGAAAGACAGAAGGAATGAGAGGATATGATCTTCGTTCTTCAGTACAGTATATGGCAGTTCAATTCTAAACAGGTTTACTAAAAAAATATCTTCCTAAAGTTTAAAGATGCTTGCTCCCATTAAAATATGCATAGAGGTGCATTCTCAGCCTGTTTTTTGACAATGGAAAGGAAGAACTTGTGGCCAGAGCCTAACCCTGAACTCATATGGATGTCTTTTTCCTTCCTTTCCTAATAGTTGGCGTGGAACATGGAGCAAACAGAACACATAGAAATGCCAGTCAATTGCATTACTTAATGCCTAACTCATTAGGAAAAAAAACTTTAAACAAAATGTTGCACGATAGAACAAGTACCGTAAATCTCATAAAATGTACTTCTATACCAAGTTACTTTCTAATTCATTGCAGATTACATAAATTTATTTTACAAATATGACAGAGCTCAGCTTTTTAGAACTCTGCAAATTCACTACACCAGAGAACGTATCTTAATTGTGACATTTCTAGACCCCCAAGAGGACAGAGTGAAATCAAGTCAATCTCTGGGAAAGATAAATTTCCCAGCACAACATGTCTGCTTTTGGGGGGGGGGGGGGGAAGGGAAGATGCCCTCATTCTTTTTAAGGTTGTTCACAGCACTTTTGCAGGGACAAAGAACACAGCAGCCTATGGCCACATAACAATGTGAAAACATAACATACAACTTTTCTTTAAATATAGTTTCCTTTAGAATAATAAATATTTCTTATTTCTCTTAACATAGAGCAGCAGCATCTGTAAAAACTTTGGACTAAAGATCCCTAATTAAGTAATCCTAAAGAATTAGGATCAGTAACATATTTACAATTAGCAATTGTAAGAAGACCCCATGAACTCTGAATCTTCTTCAAAAGCAACAAGACTTTTTGTCTAGCCTTAGGCAGGCATTGTTGGTGGAAAAATATATGAAAAGCACTTTTTTTCTGCTCTTATGGACTAATTCCCAACTGTCAGCAAGGGAAAAAAACGTGGTCTTCATTTCTTATTTCGGCATGCAGATGTGCAACACTTTGTTTCCATTATTTAGAGCATTAGAAGTGAATATTATCACCTGTTGTAGTATATGAAACACACTCACTGAAAATAGACTAATTCTGCAATGTTCAGGATTCAATGAGCATGAATTATTCTGTTTTGATCCTTTCAAGTGATGGTTCTATTGAATCAAGTGAAAAGAGAAAGCAGTTGATGGAAGAAGAAGCAATAGAAAATCATTACAGATGAGATAATAGAAGGCAAAAGTGATCATTTTGTTCTTCACTATACTGCTTCAGATGCCAACTGTAACAAGAAGGAAAACGAATTAATTCATCACAAGGTCAGTTCAAAGTGATTCCCATTTGTTTCTGCATCGGACAAAGCCCAGGAAGCAAATGAAATTGTTGATGCAACATAACAGGACCCAGAAGGGAGGCAGGTGCAAAATATATAGGCCTGCTTTTCCAGAGTGCTGAAGAGGATGTCCGAGGCTGTTCTAACTTGGTTCAATTTTACTGTAAGGTTTCTACAAAAGCATCAAATTCTTTGACGTTCCTCTCGTGAACAGCCAATTTCTCTGGCAGTGAGTCCTGTGGAGAGAGAAAATGTGTTAAGTGTCTAAATTGAAATCTCTGTGGGCAAAAGATGCAGTGCTCAGCAGGAAAGAAATGCATGCCCATTCAAAAAGCTCTTTCATTAACCAGGAAACTTGCACATTTCCTTCAGATGATTGTGAAATGGCAGATAGAAAGAAATCAGACTTTCTACTGCAATATATTTAAATAAACAAAGATGAGAAAATTTAGCCAAAACCTTGAGTTTCAAAAGCAGAAATGGGACTTGAATCTCAGGTATTACATTACATATTTGCCAAGAATAAAATACTTAGCTCACAGAAAGCAAACCAGTTACTCTCAGTGGAACCCATCAATATACGTAATCATATGGTTCTTTTCTAAACTGTAAGAACAATTACACAACAGAATATAAAGAGCATCTCCCAAAACCTAGGAAAAACAGATCTACCCACCTAAGCAAAGCACACAATAGGAAAGCATTCACATAATATTTGAATCTAATAACCCCCCATATAGATCTTGAAGATACTTATTACTACTAAAATTATAGCTTGCTTTCCCACAAATAAGCTTCTAAGTGAAATGTTAAGAGTGCAGCTGTCCATATCTGTACTTCTAAAGATGCTTTTCAAACCCATATATGGCCCAATAATCAGTGGTGAAATCCTGCCCGGTTTGCCACAGGTCCGTTGCTCGCGTATGTGCAGTGCACACCAAATGCACGCTGCGTGCGCAATGCACGCCAAACGCGCTGCATGCGGAAAAAGGCTTGGGAAGATAAGTAGAACAGCGGGGGGCGGAACAGCTGTGCCGTGTGATTTAGATTCACTAGAAAGCAGGATTTCCTGCTTTCTAGCAGTTTTAAATTGCGCAGCACAGCTGATCGTCAGAAATACCGGTTCGGACCAACCGGTAGCTTTTTTTTACTACTGGTTCACCAAACTGGTAACTTTTATCACTACCAGTTCGCCCAAACCGGTGCAAACCGGTAGGATTTCACCACTGCCAATAATACAAAGATAGAATACAAAACAGCAACTAATTGAAAATCAAGAACACCTCTGTACAAGTCAATGTGAGACCATGACAGTGAATCTATCATGGATTTACTCCAGCTGTATTTTCTCAAGATACATTTGTTTTACAAATTTCCTCCAAGGCTCAAGGTTAACTAGTTCCCTCCTTCCAAACAGAGCACTATACAAAGAGTCAGACATTGGAATTGCAAGGAGGGGTGAATTTAAAGCTATGCTGTTTCTCACCAAATAGATTGCATAATATCAATTATTTCTCAGCATTTAATGAAAGTCAGAGCATTGGAAAAAACTTTCCACAATCAGACAAAAATTGTTGAAACAAAGGAACTAACATGCAAGAAAGCAAAAAAGGACCACACCTTATTTATTTATTAACCAAAGTTCTGTATTAGGCATCAGAGTGAAATTCAAACCATCAATGCTTTAGTTTGTTGGAAAACACACTTAAACTTGTATAAAACTTCAAACCCCTGAGAAAAAGAAAATCTTGCAGCTATATGGGTCCCTAGGGTGGCTATTACATATCATGAGCTCGGGACTAAACATATTTTTGGCAGTTCCAGGCAGATTTCCAAGCAGTTCTTGCCTTATTTATCTGTCCAGTTTTTAGACATACTTCAGCATGTTTAAACTGAGGATATTTCAGAAATTCCAGCAATAATTTTAAGGAACGTCAAAACTATTACAAAATCAATTGTTCTTAGCCAAACTCTCTCACGCAGTCATTATGGGGAAAAGGGGAGGGAAGGAGCCACCTATGTATGCCACCTTGATCTCAGAAGCGAAAGACAGTCTATAAATTAAATTCATACATATAAATACAAGCTTGTAAAAACTAACATTTGGACTCTGAACTTCCTGGTTGTCTATTTGTCCAACCTATTAATACGCTCTCCAAATTGAAAAGAGCTATTGAAATAAATATCCCTTGCAGAAATCTTATTGCTTACCAGGTCTTCTGCCATGGATTGAGCTCCAATATCAATGGAGAGGCTGCTGAGTTGAGGAGGATTCTGAAATTCACGATAGAAAGTCCCTAGGTCCATGGGGATAATGTCATCTTTAGAAAATGCTGGCTTCTACAATTCAAGTGAAAGATTTAAGTCAACTATGCACAAGCAACAAAATATAAAATAGATATCATTCTGAACTCTGATCTGTTGAAAAGAAGACAAATAAGTAAAAATTGTTTAACACATTGTACGTCAATGTTTCATCTTATGGTACCACTATGTATTAGATTATTAGATTTCATGGAACAGAGAAAAAGAGGAGACATCATAAAAACTGTAAATATAAGGGACTAGATTGGGAGCAACAAGGTCAGGCTAAACCCTAGCAAGATGGAGTTGCTGTTCATCCAGAAACATCTTAATCTCTTAAAAATAACAGTTCCAGCTTTAGCTCTGAATCAAGTCACCCTCCTGGATTTTCACATCCTGCTTGAAGAACAGACAGTCTTTGGCAAGGAGAAATTTGGCCAGCTTCAGCTGGTATGTCTGTTATGCATTTATCTAGACCAGGAAGCACAGGCAAAAGCTATATGCCTTTATCATCATATGATTAGACTACTACAATCTATTCCTTATTCAGCTCCTTTGAAGATGAGGTGGAGATATAATTGATACAGAATACCATGGCAAGATATGCCAGAATAGAATTAACGTTTAATCTACAATTGCTGCAATGGTTGTCAGTACAGTAGCCTGAATGCACAATTTAAAGTATTGGTTATTACCTATATAGCCCTACCTGGCTTGGTACTGGGTTACCTCAGAACCTGCCTTGTCCACGATTATTTTTTCTTTCTAAGTGGCCATCAACAGATCATCTGCTTTAGATACTGCCCCCATATGAAGTAATGGGTACACAGGTTCAGAGACGGGCCTTGTCAGATACATTACCTACATTATGAGATGGGTTGCCCTCAGGGATTTGATTAGTGCTTTCATTCTTGGTCTTTTGGAAATTGCGAAAGTATACTCTTTGAACTGGCCTTCTAGCCATTTTAATGGTTATTGAAGTGGAGGGTCGTCATCTATTATACTGAACTTTTTAATTGTTTCAATTGAACTTGAGCTTGAAAAGCTTATGAACTGCCCAGAATCGTTTAACTGTGATAGTATACATATTTTGTTACATAAATAAAGACATTGAATTCTCTGCTGCAATAAACCAGTAATTTTCTCTGTCTCTTTTCTTTCTTCTATGTACCATTTTGGGAAACACATAATTGTAGCCTATCATTGTTATTTCTAATTCACTTCTATTTGCACAGTTCTATTCACTGCTTCATGAGCCTTTTTAAAATGAAAATACAACTGTTGTATTGCTGTAGTTTTTGCTTCAAATAGTAATGTATCAACTATCAATAGATTTCTCTCCCATTCTTATTTTTCCATAGTATCTATTAATCTCTAGTTAAAATATTTTTCCCATATTATTTTTAACTTTCTGAAAGAAAAAAATCTGATTATAGATTAAAAAATATTTTGATTTTGTAATATGCTATGGTTGATTTCTGCATTGCCACATTTTTGTTACAAGTCATCGTTATAGATATTTTCTTTGCTCATACCAGAATAAAATCTGGATAATGAAATAAGCTTTTGGCATTAATTTTTGGTTTGCAAAAATTAAGACAGACAACTTCTACCTAGTTTGGTAATGAGTCGTCTGCAAGTAAACCATCAAACTCAGAAAGCATCAAGGCCCCACAAATTCACCAAAGAGACTGATGCTTCTTGGAAGAAAACTTTCCCCCAAATACCAGAGCATGGAGTTTTAAATACTAGTTACTTGTGTAATGTAAAGGTTGTATGGACTTACAAAATCTATCATAACAAAATCATCATGGATATTCCCACTGCTGCTGCCACTGGAACCCACTGAGTGTAGGCTACCTTGTAAAGGAGACTCTGTGTCTGGAGAATCAGGAGGATTTACCTGTTAAAGGAATTCAAATGTCCAATTAACATAATAAAGTCCCGATGGGCAAAATAAGCAGAGACAAGAAGTTATCTTTGCAGACAGAAATTATAGGCATGCTTGGCATTCAGGAGGCATAATACTGACAACAATTTTATAGGACTGAGAAAGGTAGGCAGTTCTTACCATGGGATCGTTATCTTCTAGTTCAAAGCTCTTGGGAGCAAACATTTGAAAAGGAATGTCCAAACTGGCCATTGTCACCTAGAGGTTCAAAAGATAGAATCTCAAATGTCTCCTGACAAATCCTACTATTTCTGCCAGGATGCAATATACTGCTGCAAATTTTCATGCCTACAGCCCCAAAATTGGCCAGAACAAGTTCAGAAATTAGAGAAAGCCAAATACAGCCAAGTTGTGCAGACTATCACCTGGAATGGCATTTCTCCAGTGTTATGGGAAAGGACATTCCTTGTGTTTCGCTTCTGAAGCCATATGCAAGCAATGAATTAAAGTGAATTACCTGGCTGATGGGCTTGTTGACAAAGGCTCCCACCTTTCGAACAAAGAAGGTTTCCAAGGCATCGCGTGGAGAACCGCTCTTTCCTTCACTGCTGTTAGATACGGTTTCTGGATCCTCACTGAAAGTTGAAAGAGGGTGTAATTATTATTATTATTATTACTACACTAGAGATATACAACTACTAATACAAAGCACTGGATATGAAGTACACATTTTTCCTAATATCTTTCCTAGCTTTTTATTAAAGTTATATATAGTACTTCCCATAGAATTAAAACTTAGATTTCAAAGGTGTTCTGAGTATTCCACCAATGATAAACATTGTTTTTATTTGAAAGTTATGCTTTATCTTCTAGCATCAGTCTACTCATCACACACACACACACACACACGTTTCCTCAACATTCATTTGACTTCTTCTTATCAGCAGCAATACATTTTATGTACAAACAAAACATTTAAAAAATGGAGGTAGTGAATTTAGGATTAAGACAGCATTTTTCCCCCCTGAAGTATTTTTTTCAAAGAATGAAGAGATCTCCAAAGGGAAAGGAGACAGAATCTAAACGTTTTGTTCCTTTTTTTGGCACTTAGTGGCACTGGCATAATCAAACAAGAACAAGTTTTAACAATATTGTTGAGCGTTTGATGTTAAGCTTTTTTCCCAAGCTACTAATCTGCATAACAAATGCCATTAATTCTCGGACAAATTAATTTTTGGTTTGTAAAAGTGATACATAAGACAGTTAAGGAAAGTTTTAAATACATACCTACTAGATGGAGTAACTGCAGAATAATGGCCTCCATCCAGGGGAGTGCATGTCATTATTTTCTCATGATCTGCCTGGGTGCCATGCATCGGTTGGCTAGGAATCATAGGTACTCCTCCCTCCTTTCCTGGAACTACCAACTAGAAAGTACAAAGATCAAACTTGTTATTTTTGAAGTCATTAGGGAAGAGAGAATGCTCAGTTCTCTTACTTCGAAGAGTGCAATTGTTTGTTTTTCAATTAAAAGTAATGGAATTTATGACATATTTTGGAAGAAGCAGTGCACCTTGTTTCTCAAGAACCTGAATGATTTCTATCAATAGGCAAAGAGGGAGAAAGAATTTCAGTCAAAAGTATAGGTATAGAGGGAGAGGAACTAAAATAGAACTAAATGGAAGATAACAACTTGAAGAATTGAGAGCTGCCCTGAACCCCCTGTAGCACTTTTCATTTGTTTATTTATTTATTTTGGGCCTATTGTCAGAGAACCTTCAAACTTCTTAGCAAACAGAACTGAGCTGTTTCTCAAAGTATACCTTAAAAGTAAAATACTTTGCAGTGGAGCAACATTTTAATGAGTATACCTCGTAATAATAATTATAAATTTTATTCAATGCACATAGATTTATATCATGGCCCCATTTTCATGACATCCAACTATATCCCACACTGCATTAAATACAACTATAGTAGATATTTCTTCCACTTCTCAAGCATTGTATAAAATAATCCACACTTCTAAAAGTTAAGCAAAGAAGGTATGATCAACGTTCCATACAGTGTCCAGGTTTTGCCAAGGATCCAAGAAGAAATGAAATTCTATCATACTGGGATGCAAAGTCTTATTTCATGTGAATCCAAAAAGCAATGTTAGTGTTCTTTGTCCAATGCTACTAGTATTGTTGGTTTTTTTTCAACTATTATCCTATTTTCTTTGCTGATGCGAGACGAATAGAGTAAGTTCAGAAAAAGTGTTAGCTGTCAATGAGATACATTTTAGAACAGCAAATCTCTGAGAATACCTGATGAAGATGTGTAGCGCTCAAGCCGCCAGCAAAGACTACTGGGTAGCCCAAGTCAGCTGATCCAACTCCCAAGGCTGCAGGCTGATAAGAAAGACGAGAGCTGGAGAGCTAAGAAATAGGGGTAGGGAGGAAAAAGAAGAGAAAGGGAAACCCCACAGAGTCTGAATAATGTTTAGATATATAGGAAAGGGAAGGAAATGAAATCAAGATGTGCAAAATAAAATTGCTAATACTTTCTCTCTCACACAAAAAAAGGTAAGCTGATTTTAATGGAACTTATGACTGATATTATTTTTAAGGACCAATTTCCAAAGATCTAAATTACAGAAATGACCTTCATATATATTCTGGTATTTAACATTTTAAATAAGGAAACAATCTGTGCAAATGACAGTACAACCATTGCTCTGAGAGAAGGCTATCAAAAGAATTAATAATAGTGTTAGATAATTATCATTCATATGCCCCATTTTATCTCTCATCAAGAAGTATAAAATCTAAGCAGAAGACATTTTGAATTTCAGCTATAAAATGCAAAGTCTGCAAAGCAGAACCTCTGGTCATCAGAGGAAAAATCTAAACCCAGACCAAAATTAATATCCGAGACATCACATTTCACTGCAACTATTAAAATAATAAGGAAAACCATAAAAGATGTGCAGAGGACAGAACTGATGCTTTGTTTATATTACAACTCTTACTCTTGACTATCCAGAGTACATATATTGTAGAATCTATGAAAAATAAAGGCTGGAATTACAACTCTTACACACACACACATTTGCATAACATGTTACACTACACTACCTGTTGCAAGCATTGTAGTTGTGATTTCCTAGCTAAGGAAAATATGTTTGTATGTTTAAGCATGTGTGTATTTAAGTGTACCATTACCCTATTAGCACTATTAAAGCAAATGATAGGAAGCTGTATTCTTTTAGATGCTGTTGGATGTTAAATCCTATACAGGTAGTACTCGACTTACAACAATTCAGTTAGTGGCCATTCAGTTACAATGGCATTGAAAAAAGTGACTTATGATCATTTTTCACACTTATGACCATTGCAGCATCCCCATGGTCATGTGATTTATATTTGGATGCTTGAAAACTGACTCACATTTATGACAGCGTCCTGGGGTCATATGATCATCTTTTGCAACCTTCTGACAAGCATGGTCAATGGAGAAACCAGATTCACTTAACCATCGTGTAACTAATTTAACAGCTACTATTGATTCAGTTAACAAATGTGCCCAGAAAAGTCGTAAAATGGAGCAAAACTCACTATCATCCCTATATTAATTAATCATATTTATATTGTCGGAGATTGCTGTAGCGACTAATATAAAGGTGTTCTGCCATTGCTTTTTTTTTTTTCTGCATCTGATCTTAACATACTGGTCTTATTTTGCAGCCTGATCTTCCATTTTGGTGGTGTACTGTTTGGCTTTTTTTCTCTTGTTTGTTCATTTTGTATCCACGTTATTCAGTTACAACTACAGCTGTGCTGTACATTAGTTGGTTTGTTTCTTGCAGTGAGCTGGTGCTTATATTTGATATTGTCGTATTGGCATCTTTTAGTATTTGTTTTAGCTGTTTTTTTGGAACAAGCTTCACTTGTTCAATAGGCAGCCTCAGTACATTGTTTTTGTGCTGTTCTTGGTGTTCAGTTATTTCTTCTTCTTCTTTCAATTCCTTTTGTTTTTTAATTAAAGGGCTTTTTTCATCCTGTAAAGGTGGTATCTTAGGTTTGGGAATAAAAACGACTTGATAGCTATGCTGGCTTCCACTAGTTTCAACTTCCCTGGTTTGCCTCTGCAGTCTGAGCTACTTCTGGCAAGGCTTCCATTTTTTGCCCTTGGTAGACCTTTGCAGTTCTTCTAATTCTGCTTCTATGAATACTTTATTTCACATTACAAACCAACATTCATCTTCTAGCCTCTGTAATGTTATTTCTGATTCTGAATGTTGTTCTTTCCAGAACTGGTACATTCTTTTCAGATATCCTCTTCTCATTGGATTTTATTTGTAATAAGAGATCACTATTTCAGTCTTTGTATATTGGCGATGGGTAAATAATTTTTCTTTCAGTCACCCTGCAACTGCTGATTGCTCAGCCAACAGTCTTGATTCCTCTAGCCCATTTTTCATCAAATGTCCATGAACGTCAACATTTAGAACAGTCCTTGTTGACCAATCCAGTGACACCCAATCCAGTATGGGTTCCTGTAAATTACATCTCACCATATTGCTTATGAGAGAGGCACTTGTTATTATTAGATTTTTTTTTAAATCCCACTTTTTAAAAAAAAAAAATTGGTCAACACAAGACGGCGCTGAAAATTATTATCCCCCCCCTCGCAGCATTCATTTTGTCAAGGAATATGATTAGCATGATCATCTGCACAACCATACTGTTTCCTTATACTTTCACTACAGGTCTTTGACTTATGACTATAATGGAGCCTGCTGCATGACTATCTCATTTAATGATCCCCATCCTTGATCTTCCCATTGTGGTTGTTAAGTAGTGAATGGAGTGCCTCAAAGGGTGGGGGAGGCCTTGGGAGGCCCAGAAGTGGGTGCTATTTTTGGAGCAGCTACAATTCATGGGCTGAGCCACAGGTCTTAGGAATGCCAAGGGATGGAGTGGCCTGCTTTCATTTTCCAACATGATTTCTGGAGCTTTGGAGATCTATAAAAGGTAAGTGAGTGTTCAGTGATGGGGTAGGGGTGGGGAAGAGGGGTTGGGACACCGCAGGGTGAGAAGCAGACCCAAGGCCTGCAGAGTGCTAGGTTTACCATCATTGAGCTAGGATTATGGTCACATGATATCTCACTTAACAACCACTTCACTCAACACCCAAGGTTCCAGTCCCAATTATGGTCATACGCCAAAGACTATCTATATAAAACAGAAAATATCTTTTTATTATGACTGGAATTATAAATGGATCCTCTTAGCAATGGCCTACTTTTCCCTCATCCTCTTGCTATGCTTTTTCCCACACCCAGCAACAAAATTTCAAATAAAGCCTCATATACCATAACTCTCAATCAATTCTTAGAGTCTTCTTTTCCTTTTTTTGGAAGAGGAAAAAAAAATAGTATGCATCGCTGTGACAAAAGCCAACACCCTTAATAGACTGTTATAAGATATTTTTCACCGGTATCTTTAACATTTTGCTATGAATCCACGAATTCAAGAACTTTACAAGCATCTTGCTCAGTAATAGAAATATAAAGGTAATAACTTTCAATATGATTTTTTCTCTTCAATCTCCTTTCTTTTAGAAAAGGTATTTGGAAACTGAATATATAATGCCAACTTTGTAAATGGGACATACCAAAAGGTCTGTTTCATTTTAGGCCAGCTGGGCTCACCGATGAAGTCAAACCAAAAATATTTACTGTTTACTTTTGTTATGTATCTTTTAGTTTTTAAATTTTTTGGCCCTATATGTTTTCCACAATCAACTCACTTGAGGTGAAAAGGCCAGCCCCATCATAGGGCCCTTCAAGGTATCCATCACCACAGGAGGAGGAGTCTGAAAATGTGCTTTAGTGACAGTAAATACACACTGTACAAAGACACACGAAAGAAAACACACAAGGAAGAGAAAGAAAAGAACTTCAGAAAGAAAAATGGAAAAGAGTTTGATGAACTGAATGTTATGTCCAGACATATATTGGAAATGTTCATATACAGAACTGGAGGGCACTTCATGGTTTGCAAGAGGTTTAACATTTCAGGGTAACTGTTGTATTTTCCAAATTAATTTCTTTTTAATTTGAGAATTCCATTTAGATCAGGAAAAAGAGTCAGAATTTGCTGCAAATACATGGGCCTTCTAAGGATTAGGTCAAATGGTTATTGGTAACAACAGAGAGGAGGAAAGATCAATTCAATCAAAACTACCAAATATGAGCACAATCACTTCTATCTTTACTAGCATGAAGAATGAAATTCCAATGAAGACAGGAGACAGGCATAAATGCAGAGGGGATGGAATGGGGAAAGCATGAAATGTGTCATGAAATCATGATACAATCCCTATATATTTGCATCCAAAAGAAAGAGATACTGAATAGAGTTTCTGGTTTTCCGTTTAAAATGGACATATAGGATGATCAAAGTTTTTGATCACAAATTTTATAACTGTGCTGACTTGCCAGAAGACGTCTTTTCATATTAGGCATAATTAAGACAATGGCAACATAGAGTCAGAACATCTTAAGAAGTAATTCTTGTCAAATGTTGATGGTCAATTAATTATTAAAGAAATAGCCTACAAGAATGCTCTGTATCGGGTATGACTTGATATTTATAAATCAGGGAAATGGGGATGAAGAAATCAGTTGTAAACTCATACTCAGCAGAATATTCTTTTCCTAAAATTAAAATTAAGAAATGACTATATAAGTAATTACATACAATCTAACTCCCTGGCAACAACCACCAATATTGCCATTATAGAAGAACAGAAACTTATTTTCATGCCAGGATGGTCTTATTGTACTGAGTTTTAAAACTAAGCCTTGTGTCTTGATTTTTAATCCAAATGTTTTGCAGGAGTATCTGCCAATCTACGTTAAGTATAGAATTTTTTAAAATCTGAAAATTAGATGGATTAAAAGGTTAGACTATATATTATGATCAGTAGATTGTCATCAACCTTGAACTAATTTTTTCATACACCTATACTCTATTCTTATTAATTAAAAATACCACCTCTTGGCAATAGTGAAATATATGCATAAGGAAGTGTATTCTGAGCAATGCCCATCACAGTTTAGTTGTCACGCTCTTCGTTTTGTACTATATAATAATCACAGGTTGCAAAAGTGTCAGTTGCTAAAATATGACTGTATAACTGTATAAATAAGGCACACTGGGAAACTTCTAAATTGATTTTGAAAAACAACTTACCTGGGATGGGGGAGAAGTAGAGAAAGAAGTTGTGCATACTTCTTGAGAATCTTCTACTGATGGATATGCCACTGCATTTTCTTCACCTGTTCTGTAACAATCACAAGATACTTTTTTAAAAAATGGAAATGTTTAATAATAGCTAAGCAAAGGTTCTACTGATAAAAACACTATAGACAGGAATTAAAAGATTTGGGTGGAGTTGAAAGGAGAATTATGACAGAGCTCACTCTTTCCTTAAAAGAGCGGAACTGGTAGGGCGAGTTTAATATTTTTGGATTTTATGTGTTCATAAATTTTCCCCGGAAAAGAATGACATATTTTCTTAGAAATTTTATTTTTTGTTTTTCAAAAGGAAGCTTTTACTGATATTCATTTCAAGGCTATTAGTTGTAGAGATATACAAAATGTAATTTCAGAGCTTCACAAAATACATTTCTAAACACTGCTGTTTTGGCCAATGAAGAAAATATTAACCTGGGAAATGTTTTAAAAAATAGGTCATCTATTAAAATATTTTTGAATTATCATGCTTTACTTATACTATCATACAATCATTAAATAGAAATAGAATAACAGAGTTGGAAGGGACCTTGGAGGTCTTCTAGTCCAACCCCGTTTAGGCAGGGAACCCTAATACACCACTTCAGACAAATGGTTATCCAATCTCTTCTTAAAAACTTCCAGTATTGGAGCATTCACAACCTGTGGAGGCACGTTGTTCCACTGATTAATTGTTCTAGCTGTCGGGAAATTTCTCCTTAGGAAATTTGCTTCTCTCCTTGATTAGTTTCCACCCACTGCTTCCTGTCCTACCCTCAAGTGCTTTGGAGAATAGCTTGACTCCCTCTTTTTTGTGGCAGCCCCTGAGATATTGGAATTAAAGTAGAAATTTATAAAACAAGTGCCAAATTGTTTGGGAAAAAAAAGAAATTATTTTCATGCTGCACTTTACTCTGGAAAAATATTTACAATCCCAAGATTTCTCACTGACTAAGGTGTGACCTGAAATGAATGTGCCTTAAAGTTTTCTCATTCTATTCATCCACTTCTAAATAGTGTAAGAAATTCAGGCTTTTTCTGCATACTACACTTCAAAATTGAAGCGGTGAGCAAGACTCACACATAATTTTCTCTACCCAGCAATGTAAGCTGTAAAGGTTCTATACCTGGGATAATTGCCTCCACTATTCATGATTCCTCTTTCCTCACCTGTAATTGCAGGGATGCATGGGTGAGGAGCTGGGGTAGGGACGGTCCACAAAGTGATCAATGATAATCCCCATGATAGGTGGGGTCCTCTCAAACTGCCTGCAAGGCAATAAGTAATAAGCAAATTGTATTATTCATAGGACTGTGGTTTCTATTTTACAACTTGTTCTGACAGCCATCCTGCTCTTTTGGATAAATTTATGGGGAGCAGAGCATCACCACAATTCAACCCTGCAACTCCACACATAAGCAAGGAACTTGCTCAAAACTTAAAACTACCAGTATCAATCTGCCGAATCGAAGTAACTAAGATTTTCTGGCTCAAAGGAGGATATCCTAAGAAGAGATTATTTAGTTTGACTAAGAAGTCCTCACCTGGTAGACATGAATGCTAGGTTGATTCTGTAGGCACATGACAAAGTGATTGTGCCTAGTGGAGTACCAACTGTCCCAACTCGGACTGTCTGAAATCCTACACAGGCAGAAGAGAAGTGATCATTGTCCCAACTACTCTTTATGTTAATAACGATCAACCACAAAAATAAAACGATTCACTATTGCTCTAGTCTTAGCTGAGCACAACAATAAAACTGAAGCCCCCAAGATGATGTCAATGCAGACCACCCTTTGTGTTCATCACCCTCTCATGTTCCACCTCATTTTTAATTTTAGTGCAATATTGTTTGTGGGAAATTAGTAGAGTCACAAGAATATCTCTAGACCCTATCTGAAATGGAACCTGGAACAGAAAACTTCAGGTCTAAAAGAACTATCATGTTATTTGGAAATTACCACTACCTTGTACTTAGCTATAGACCTGCAGAAGTTGCTTTTCTTTTAACTTTACCAATTTACTTTTTGAGAGCTGATCCTTTGTGACTAAACAGCTTACCATAAAAATAACTTTACTATTATGTTTATAATACACTCAAGAGATTGATGCAAACTTCTATTAGTTCTCCTATTGACAAAAGTCAGATGAATATATTCTTTAGTTGAATCCCAGATATCAGTTTCAATTCTTCATCAATCTCTTATAAACCTCAAACATCCATATATGTATGCATGTTTCTTTTGTAAACATGTGAATCTGTTAGTCCAGGGGTGGGCAAATGTGGCCCTTTTACAATCTGTGGACTTCAACTCCCAGAATTCCTGAGACAGCCAAGCTGGCTCAGGAATTCTGGAAGTTGAAGTCCACAGGTCATAAAGGGGCCATATTTGCCCATCCGTGTTAATCTATAATTGCCTATTTTTATTTTCTACAGTCTGTCAATAGTAAAAAAAGAAAAGCCCAGGTCTAATTTTTCTGATACCCAGTCATACCTTCTCCCAAGCCATTCAGTTGCACTTCTCCAAAGTATACCCTACAACAGATAAGTAGATACAAAAATTATATACATCATATATGTTGTTATAAGATGCAAGGCAGAGATATAAAATTGATTTTTTTAATTCTTAATGTACAATAATCTTACAACCCTTGATCTGGTCACTTTTTGATGAACAAGTAACATAAAATAACCATAAGATCACCTAATGTCAGAATCAAAGAAAGAAGCATGGTAAATGCTTAGGTGCCAAAATTAGAACATATGATATTATTATTGGCACAGAATCGAGATAACAAAAAAAACGAATCAAAAGAAATATAAGATCAAATAAATTCCTGTAGTAAGGTTTTGATCTAAAACCCCATTAATATATTGTCCGTTTTAATTGATAAACCCAGACCCTAGCCAACAAAAATCCAAAGTAGTAGCAGCAACCAATTGAATTTGAGGATAATAAGAAAAATTAGGAGCCAGCTAGATCATTTATATTCTGTCTGAAACTATTGAGGCCATTCATTAAATATACATGTAGTTTGGAAATATAAATCATTTAACAATATTTTATTAGTTGGACAGGCAACTGGAAATAGGTACAGCAGATTAACTGGAAAATACTTAAATACACAATTGCACAATAATATCAGACTATTACACTTTTATTTGCCTGTTGGATTTCAAAATGCTTTCCCATATTAATACATTTCAATTGCTTTAAACTGGAAGATTAAACTATATATTCAGCCAGTTACATGTTCTAAGTAATGAAATTACGGATACTAAAATTGGATTAAATGAAATCAATAAGTGATATTCAGTTTGGATTAATATAATCTTCTTTTAAATTCTCTCTCCTTTTAACAAAACAAAACACAGCAATATACTTTGGGAGTTCAATAGATGTATGAGCTTATAGTTGAAAACAGGGTACATTTCAAAATTATTCCATTCTTAGTTATCATTAATATTACTCCTTCTACAATTAGCATTACATTAAACATATTGGTACAAAGGTGCCAAGTGACTTTCATAGCTAAGAACGTACTTATGTCTGGATCTGCCCATACTAGATCCCATAGTATTAAATTCCTCATTTAGATATCAAAAAATCATGGAGGAAAAAATATAGTAGAGAGAACTAAAATAAACCAATGTTTTCTTCAGAATACAAAAACCAAGCAGGCCAATGTATTTAATAGATTAATAAACGTCTTTGGAGTTAGATGGCATCTAAATAATGGAATAAATATTTTTGCAACTCCTTGCCTCAAAAACAATAGAAATACAAATTTAGTGGGGAAATTTTACGTTATAAATATGTTAATTCCTGAAATGTGGAGCTGAACTTTTTCTCTAAAATAAAATGTTTATTTAATGGACATTTGCAGTGTAGTAAAATTTGCATGATTATGCTGTTTTTGCCTAGAACAATATACAGGCAAGGGTAGAGAAATATGAAACCATGCAATAACTAGTACTCTTGATAACAAAAGAATTTATGACATATACAAAATTTTCAATTATTATTCCTATCATATTATTAAATATGTTTAAAATAGCATGGATTCCAATTAGTAAAGGAATTAAGTTGCTTTAGTTTTTCATTCACTAAAAGAATAAACTATCTTTGTAAATTAATAAGTGATTGAAAGATTATTTGCCATCAAGACATTTTCAAGTTCTAGCGACCATATTGATTTAAAAACCAAAAAGAGGAAAGAAACTTATTATAGGACAAATGAACCTATAAGTGTTGAGAAATACATGGAATTATGAAATGGTTTAGATTTGTTAAAATAATTTCCAAATATTTACAGAAATCTAAAATCCACTGCTACCACACTGACTTGTTAATATTATCTAATGAGATTTTATAACATTGCACTAAAGATAAAAAGAGAATGAAGAAATATATGCAACTTATTTTGTTCATTTTTTGTTTTATGGATAATGCATAGAATTATAATTTGAATAACAAGATTAAGAAGCAAAACTGTAAAGTTAAAAAACAATAATCTGCTTAATATTTTGAGAAATTTTGAAACGAAACAAAATTTGTTAACTATATTTTGACTAAGTTATGAAGAAATACAAGGAAAAATATAGCTATAAATCCACAGATATTCCTAAATTGTACACATATTAGAAGAATGCAGTAAACTATCAATTGCACATGAGAACCTACTTCTTTATTAAAATAAGATTAACAGCAAATTAAAAAGATAAAAAAAGAGAGACCAATGCAAGCACGTTAAAAAATATGAGGCTGGAGAAAAATAATGGAAATGCAAGAACAAAAAATATAAAACTTGATACAGACAATATAGAATGTATTAGAAGTTCTATTTATTTTTTGGTCCTGAGGATGATCAAAGTCAGTATTACCTGTACAATATGACATATTCATGACCTTGTTTCCTTGAGAGTCTATAGGCTGGTGTCACCCTTGTTATAGCAAGCAAAGATTTCAGCAGTAGAGACAGTCTATTATACACAGTGTAGGAAACTTTGGTTTCTTTATCACATCTAAAAGCATACATAAAAATAATTAATGCGGCATTCCAAGAATCAATAAATTCTGAAATGAATCAACTTTGAAATACAGGTAATCCTCAATTTATGACCACAATTTAATCCAAAATTTCTGTTGCTAAGCAAGGCAAGTTAAAATGATTTTTATCCCATTTTATGAGTTTTTGGCCACACTTATTAAATGAATCATTGCAGTTGTTAAATGAACAACAGAGTTGTTAAGCAACTCTGACTTCTCCTATTGACTTTGCTTTTCAGAAGCCAGTTGAGAATGTTACAAATGGTGATCACATGACTCCAGGATAGTGCAACTGTCATAAATACATGCCAGTTGCCAAGTGCCTGAATTTTGATCATGTGACTGTGATAATGCTGCAACAGTTGTAAGTGTGAAAACTTTTTTCAGTTCCGTTATAACTTTGAACGGTCATTAAACAAATGGTTGTAAGTCAAGGACTATCTGTACTGAATTATCACTGTAAAAAAATAAAAATAAAGATTATACTTTTATAGAGTTCAAAGCAAATTAATATATCTACAGATTTTGTGTAATACACCAATTATTTAATTCTAATTCAAATGAAGATGTTTGCTTCTCAAATATCAGAGAAAAATATCTTAAGTAATAATGCATTAATCCACAAATAACATAGAATTATATAGAAATGGATGCATATTACATCTTTGCTTGATATAGAATATATTAAGAAGTTTCTTCCACAATATTCATAAATTAGAATAGGATATATTTTTGGCATGTGGAAATATGATCTATTTTTAATTCAGATGCACCAAAACCCAAAAAAGTTTGCTTTCCAAGTAATTTATATTATTTGGTTAATGACATTATCATGCAAATAAGGTAATTTCTGCAATGACATACAGGTAGTTTTCATGTAATGACAACCTGACTTGGCAACTTGGTCAATAAGCAAAGTGGTTACTATGTGAAATCACAACTCTTATGACTTTATTGTGAGAGATACTTTGCCATCACTATCATAACTGCAAACGGTCACTAAATGAGGCAGCCGCTAAACAAGGACTACCTGTACTTTTGTTAGAACAAACTTTCTCCTCATCCAAATTAAAATGAAATTCCATTCTATACTCATTTTCTGAACTGGAATGCAATATTAACTAATTACTATAGCTATAAAAATACTATTATGGAATGAAACAAAGCCCATTGATGAGAACAGATTTATCTAAATTCCATAGCTTTTTGAAATACGTAACGTATTTTTGAAATACGTATTTAACGAAAAGGGAACTGTGAAATGAACAAATTTCTATCTGGCTTCCTGACATATGAAAATATTTTTAATTGGATAATTTAGAATATGCTGTGAGAGCTCTAGCAAAATGCCTGCACAAAATGCCTACCATGGAAGACTTAGTGAGACTCAAAATATCCCAATGCTTTATATATCACCATCTCCATCCTCCACCTCTTGCATTTTCCCCATTTCTACCTTTGTCCATTTGCAGAGCTAGCAGGCTCTATTCTGCATGATTATTTTTAGCTTCTATGAAAGCCTACTAAGCTCATTTTAGCTCTTTAGACATTCTTGAGAATAAAGAATGCTTCTATAGATTGGCATTTTGACCTATTATAATGTGCCAGCTTGCCACTTTTTAATTGAAATGTAAATTGAAATATAAAGTCAAGCAGGGCACAAAGGGGCGTATCAGCAGACCTATAAGCACTACAACACTGAAGGCCTTAGTTTTAGGGTAATTATGCATGATACTGTTATCAATTTACCAATGTTTGAAAATGCGTCAATACCAAGAAACATCTAAGCAGCTGATAACAGAAGTAAAACTGCATGGAAACATTTCATGCAAGTTGGAACAGCTTTTTTTTACTTACAATTGGGAAATACTTGCAAACTTTTATTTTGTAGTGTGCAAATGTTAACTCATAAATTAATTATGATGGACATACTGGATGTATTCATTTTATTACTACTTCTTTCTATGCGCATTTTAAAATGTAAAGAAAAAAAATGGGAACTAGTGTTTAGTTATTTACGCTTAACAAAAAGCCTCTTGTGCCCATCGGTTCTAGAGATTCACTAATATTAATTGTTCACATTCAAGCTTGTTGCTTATAACATCATTATAGCTTTAAAACTGGTAACTGAGTTTGTTATTTGCATTGTTTCTCTTCTCACTTCCCTTTTCTTTTACACTATGCCTTTTAGGCTTCCTAGGGACAGGTAGTGTCCTCTCTGTTATTGATGTGAGCCGTTCTGATAGATTTTTTTTCCAGTAAAGATAGGAATGAAAATACTTTAAACAGTAGCTTACTTTTCATTCATTTCTAAACACCAGATTTCCAGCTCCATGGAATCTCCCTGCAGTGGAAGAAAAAGTATTTCAACAAAGCCTTTATAATGACAAAGCTTTTACTTGTGAAAAAAAATGTACCTAGTACAGATGAGTCAGTGGTGTTGTTGAAAATGAGACAAATGAAACTTTAGGTGGATTTAACATTAGTATAGTTTCCAAATTATGAAAAGTGATACCTTCATATACCTGAAAGAATGTCACAGAAAAGAAGCTCAAGTTTTGTCACTGCAGAATGCAGGACATAAAATAATGGATTGATAAAATGTTTTATAAAACTTGTCAAATTTCAATTACATGGGAAATGGATCCTGGATTTTGGATGCATTCTGTAAGTTAGACCATTTGAGGTACCTTAGTTCAAAAATGGGTGTACCATTTCACCTACGTAAAGATTATAAGAATGAGAGTTTTAGTAGTAGACAAGCTAGTTCTATCTACTATCTCATTATGTAAAGGCAGTTTCAAATAGAATTCTTGGAAAGAAGATCCTATGTGTAATAATATTTCAGTGACTAAACAGAGTAGTTTCTGTTTTTTATATAAAAATGAAAATTATAATGCTGCCAGCAGTGGTTTACTGGAACCCTCTCTTGTAAATTTTCATATGATTTGAAGCCATGTAACAAAATCTGAGATGAAATTGAGTAAGAAAAAAAGAATGGTTGGTTCAGTTTATACCTCAGAGGTTTTAAGGGAGATTTCCACACACATTGACCGCCCAACAGCAGGCAGCTGTCCTGCCAAAGCTTTTTTTGCTTCATGAGTAACTTCTGGTATGTCTTTGATTGCCAAGTTGAACTGTAAATTTAAGAATGTAGATTTTAATTTTCAGGAATCTACTTTAGAAACCTACAAACCTTCCTATAGCAGGAATATGTATAATAAAACACAGTTCACAATAGATTAATCTCACTACTATAAAGCAAAACATCCTTTGCTGTCATACATCACAGATTAATAAATGTTGATTTCCTCAAAATATTGTAAAGCAGATAATATACAAACACAGAGATATACACAAGTCCTATTAGCTTTCACTGTCTCTAGAGATCTTGTATGTCACAAATACTCAATCAAAAGATCTAATAAGAACTTGCAAATAAGGAATGAATTGCTCCCATACATTCTATATTTATACAACCACTTTACAACAGAAGCAAGGTAGAAGCCACGTGCTTTTAACATGAATATTATGAATGATGTAACAAAGGGATTGTTCTCAAAAATACTTTTTACCCAGTCAGAGCCTGTTGGTGAGGAGGATGAACGAGTGCAGATTTTTTCTCCAAGTCGGGCCTGCACAATCACCTGTACAGTCTGAAAGACAAAACAGGCTTACTGCATTGAGAAAAGACAAATAGTCAAAAAGTCAAGTAGAGAACACCTACTGAATGGTACCAGATTGAAAAAAAATTAAAGGAGGTACAAAAGCCAAATTACTCAACTGTTTGATAGCAGAAGTCAGAAATGCATTACTAATAATGCATGCATGCATTATTAATTGCTCAGATCCTGGGCAGAACAGTTCAGGAAATCTTATAACTTTTCCTATATCTCTTAACAATTTTATTTATTTCTTTGAATTAGGGCTGTGCATACTTCAAAAAAGCGTTTTATTTAATTGATAAATAAAAGTCATATGCATGACTTTGGGTGGCTAACTAAAACAGAGTAAAACAACAATAAAAAAGACAGAATTAAAAACAACAGAAATTTGGAATAAGTTTTCAGACTCTGAACAAGTACAAGAGCCCCTAATATAGAATTCATGTTTTTTATTACTTTATTACTGAAGAAGAAGGGCTGCCTCTTTAGGATTGGGTTAGCTTTAGCACTGAAATTCAGGATTCCTATTTTAAAGCCTAAAATCATAAAACTGAAAAGACATTTCTGAAATTCTTAATTTCTTCTAATTTCTCAATTTTAAAAAATGTTACAGAATTCTATTACACATTTTGTGTTACTGCCACTGAATTGTGCAAAACTTTAGCTTTTGTTATGCTGTAGTCTAAACATAATGCACACACAAATAATTACCTTCAAAGCAAAAAATTTTATGAACTTGTCCAAGTCCTTCCTGTCCTGGGAGCTGAGGTCAGTATCCATTGCATATGAAAGTCTGAAACAGGACAAAAAAAATTGATTTCACATTTCCAGTCTTAGAAGTTCTTTTGCACAGTATTATTCAGCCAAACTAGTCTTCAACATCAACAAGTAGATTTTAAGTCAGCCACTACTTTTGAAATCAATTTGTTCATTTAAATAAACAGAAATTAAGAATATTCAGTGAAGTTTACATTGTCTGCTCTTTCAGAATCACCTGGCAAAATCAAGTAACTTTTTATTTCACCCGATGAACTTGGTGAATAAGATTAATCATTTGTGAAATGAATTCTAGGTAATGTGATGTAAGACAATGAGTAAGTGCTGACATATCATTGTTCATGATGTAAGTTTATTCAGAGTAGATCTGAAATGGAACTCAGCAGTACTTGATGTCATGTCCTTATATATTGTGTGTGCTCAATACAATAGAATGCAAGGATTCTGAATAACATTATATAAAACAACAGAAATCAGCGGAATGCATCCCCAAACATCAATTAACTCTCAAAAGGCATAATATGACTTCATTAATCTCCCTCTTTAAAGATAGTCTCAAGGATAACTTCAGATGGGAAACTGGAAATCTTAGAACAAGCCAGATTAAAAAATACAAGAAAATTCTTGGAAGCACTGCACTCGGAGCAAGCAGCAGATATTTTAACTTTATCTATTATATCAAAAGTGAACCAAAAGTGGTTCATTTGAACAACTCCATCACAGTATCACAAGTCATATAGGAAACAACCAACAGAGATATGAGACAGAACCACTCACCACCTTATCGACCAAATAATTTACAAAGCACAAGGCATCAATATCGTACAAGACACCATCTGCCCACAGGGTCATTCCATCAAAGCATGAATATAGCAGGAAAGGCAAGATATACAGTCTAATCTCTACCAACCAATAAACCTATTTTCTCTAAAATTCCTGCACTGATAAAGAAGGGTGAGGAAAGCATATTTGGAGATGTCTAACAATCTAACAGAGATCCTGTCAAGAAGATGGCATGTACATGATGTCATCATGATGCATGCCTCTCATGCATTTGCCTCGTAATATTTGATGCAAGTAATAGCGTTTTGTATATCATAATTTATTATTTGCAGTCCACAAATATCCATGGCTATGTACTATTCTCAGAGACAAGTCAAAACAGCAATAGCACTTAGACTTATATACCACTTTATAGTGTTTTACAGCCCTCTCTAAGCAGTTTACAGAGTCAGTTTATTGCCCCCAACAATCTGGGTCCTCATTTTATCAGCCTCGGAAGGATAGAAGGCTGAGTCAACCTTGAGCTTGGTGAGATTAGAACTGCCAAATTGCAGGCAGCCGGTAGTCAGCAGAAGTAGCCTGCAGTACTGCATTCTAACCACTGCGCCACCAAGGCTCTTGTGAGATGCAGTTTGTCTATATAGCCACTAAGGTTGAGCCAGACTTGATAGCACTGAATACCTAAGTTAGAACATGCTAGGTACAAAATAGTTTTCATGTTGCAAGGATAAAAAAAGCTCCTTTCCCTCAAATTTGAAAACATGAAAAACAAGTTGTTCAGATCTTTGTAATAGCTACTTTAAACAACTATAATGAATGATAATTTTAGTACTGTATGCTTATTTAGTGTTCATAGATCAAGAAAAAGCCATTATCATAATTAAGATCAGGGCAGGGCCAAATTTCCAAACAGAACCTTGTTGGCATTTCAGATTACAATCTCTCAATCTTTTTGTTCAAGAAGGACAATTAGTGGCATCAGAGATTAGCTAACTGGTTTTGAATTTTACATAAAGCAAGGATAGATGAAGCTTTTTGACTCAATCAGCAAATATGAAATTGCTGAAGTACATTATTCTATAAAATGATCTCCATTAATGAGGGCAGGATATAGTAGGCTCTGCCCTTCAATAAAGGTTGCTAGGATGGTTTTGGACAGCCACATAGCACACCATTATACAAAGGAAAGCTGTTGAGGCTGCTCTTCTCACAAAGCCTCTCATGATAGTTCCTGCAACGTCAGCTTTCATTTTTCCTATGATATCAAAACACCTCAAATAAACCTTTATAGTTCCCTAGAATGCCTGCAATGCATTTAGGGAACCTATATAGTTCCCTAGAATGCCTGCAATGCCTTTATGAGGCAGAGATCTATTATTGGAAATACAGATGCTACACGCCAGTGACTCCAGCATACAAGTTTCCGTCAAGAAAAGGAAGGCATATGTTATAATCAGTCGTAGCATAATGAGATGGTAAATGAAAGGAGAAAGAAATAAAAGGCATATTAGTATTTACCAGACTAACTACTTTACTAATACAGTGTATGGAAAGATCCCAGAAGCCCAAATTTAAGTACAAAGCATCTACATATAAAGTTGAAATCATTCCTCAAACAGCTTTCTTCTATTTAAGGCTGTAAATATGGGGTGAGAAACAAGAAAACAAAACAAGAAGTCCATGATTTACAACAACAATTGAGCCCAAAATTTCTGTTGCTAAGTGAAACAGTTGTTAAGTGAATTTTGCCCCTTTTTACAATCTTTCTTGCCACAGTTGTTAAGTGAATCACTGCAGTTATTATGTTAGTAACATGATTGTTAAGTGATTCTGGCTCCTCCATTGACTCTGCTTGGCAGAAGGTCACAAAGTTATCACATGACCCAGGGACACCGCACTTCATAAATGAGTCAATTGCCAAGTGTCTGAATTTTGATCATGTGACCACGGGGGTGCTGCAACAGTCGTGCGAAAAACTATTATAAGTCACTTTTTTCAGTGACTTATATGATTCAGCTGTGATTGAACACACATATCACAGTAAGCCATGTTTTTTTTTGATCAAAATTAGTTAAATTTACACGTTAATCCGCAATTTATTTAAAAGTCCCAGTGGCTAAAAGTTCACTCACACAAAAACACAAAGATATTAGCTTGAATGAATGAATGAATGAAATGTGCAAATCCATCCCAAATACCAATTAGAAATATAAAGCCCAGGAAGATACATACCATGGTTGATAGTCTGCTAGGAGAATTAAGAGGTCAAACTGCCCTGCCCATTTTCTAGTATGACTCATCCATTGAGATGGTCATCCACCAACCCTTCTCAAATCCAAAAGCTGGGCTAGTGTGTGTAGACATCATAATTCTCTTTTTTCCCCCTCTGCAGTTCAATATTCCACACATCATCTTCTGCCCCTTCCTTGTTTTATTGTAATTCAGGAAGAGCAGTATATTTGTAAGCTGTAACCTATGAAAGATCTACGTATATTTTGAGATGCAGGAGGCGATGGTTACCTGCACAAGAGAGGCTGAGGTGACAATTCGAGGTTTCATCCCGGGATTAACCCAAGAGGCTTCTCCTAGCCTGTTTGCTTGGCCATATTCATTTGGCTCCTCTTACTCCCGACCTCTCCGTCTTGATGGAAGATGCTTCTTTTTTTCCTTCCCTGTTGAGGATCTTCTCAGTTTCAGAGAGCAGAGAAACCAACCAGTGTCTTTTGCAATGGGATTTTTCTCTTGTCCAACTAAGAAGGAAAAGCACTAAGGAGCCTCCATGTCCAACTCGGTAGGCGACTGGCTGAACTGCCTAAATTTCCGCGTGGACACAGCCAGGAAAGGCGCAAGAGGAGCAAGGAGTCTAAATGTTCAGCTTGGCTCTTGAAGGAAGAGGGTGAAGAGCGCGCTTGGAGCCTTTTAACCCCGAGCTAAAAATCAGAATTGGCCCTGTGGGGCTGGGCTGGGGTGGGGGTGGCGGCAGCACCAACAGCTTCTTTCCAGGCTTGGTTCAGACAGGAGAAATGCCTCCGGCTCGGCTATGAATACGCTCCGGTCCGAGTGGCGCTTTTTTCCTGGAAGAGCCGTCCGAGAGACGCTTGTGGCCAAAGAAAGCCGCGGGCTGGTCGCCCCCTTAACCTGGTTTCCTCGCTGGAAACTACGAGGGGCCGTGACGGCACCTCACGACCGCGGCCTCCCCCGGGATCCCGTCACCGCCGCCATTGCTGCTGTTTGTTTTCATCGGCTCAAGGCAAATGAGGCAACCGGGGCGGCACTTTTCACACGGAGTCAAGTTTATTCCCCCACACCCTCCTCCCGCGCTCTGATTTCTGCCTCCCTCCAGGGGAATTAGGCCGCAAAGCTCATAAGTTCATGAATAAAAAAAGCCCGGGTGCAAATATTTTCTTTTTTAAAAAATATATATCCAAAAATCATACTTGTGAAGAATCTGCGTTTGGGAAACGGGAGTTTGCGCGTCGTGCGAGAGTGGAAAAGCTCCGCCTGGCTGTCCCGGCGCTGGGGAGAAAACCCGGAATCGGCGTTTCTGTCTCCTTTGAACTAATCCTAGGATGGGGGAAAAGAGGTGAACGTAGAAAGCTGCTTTTTCTCCCCCACCACACACGTTTCTTTCTTTCTTTCTGGATCACATATCCAAGCACATCCTTCACAGCCTTAGACATTGTGGGGAATACAGTCCCTTACACGGGCTTTCGGTCCCCCTAAAAAATGACTTCCATGCAAACCCTTCCTTGACCATGACAAGAGTCTCGAGTCTAGGGGCTAAGGGCGATTGATGAAATGCTTCGTACTTTAAAGCATTCTCTTGTGCGACTTAGCTGATTGCTGCTTGGGCCGCTCATTTCAAAGTAAGTCTTAGTTTGTATCATAAATACATTGATATGGAATATAAGGTGCCCATAGTCAGCTGTAGCTTGTTTTGAAATGGGTTAATTTCATGTTTCTCTGCCCTTCTCCAGCTCCTTTTGTCCTCGGGGCCCACTTTATGATAGATAGATAGATAGATAGATAGATAGATAGATAGATAGATAGATGATAGATAGATAGATAGACAGACAGACAGACAGACAGACAGACAGACGATATAGATATATAGATATATATTTAATGCCCATTCTCTTTCTTTCCTGCATCTTTACCACCATCCATTTCCAGCGCTTCCCGTTCTCTTTGATTAAAATTGGTTCTTGCTATCTTAATCTAAGTCAAAGTTCCTCAAAGTGATCAGTATTGATCTTCAAGGGTTGATGGGATTCTCTGTTGTTATTGTTTGTAGTATTATTAGTTCAAGTGTTATTTATTTTCATATAATATTGGGGTGTGTGTGCCAATGAACAGTCTGAAATTTCACGAAGGGGTCAATGTGCTGAAGATTTGGGAATCCTTGGTCTAAAGACCACAGCAAGTAATCTGCAAGACATGCTAGGTCAAAATGTGGTTGCGTGGTTTGCGGCTCAGTATGTCATACAAACAAGTTTCCTACCACAATAAAACAGGTGTTGCCAGCATCATTATTTAAGGTCCCTTTGTTCTCCAAACAATTTGTAGCTTGAAAAATGTGTTTGGCTGCAAAAATAACCCCCTCTAAATGTGCAGATATCTAACAGTACAGGGATTCACAATAATGGATTATGCAATTTGTTTAAGCATATAAAGGTAAAGGTTCCCCTGTCCAGTCATGTCCGACTTGAGGGGGCAGTGCTCAACTCTGTTTCTTAACCGAGAGAGCCAGCGTTGTCTGAAGACATTTCTGTGTTCATGTGGCCAGCATGACTATATGTCGAGGTGCACAGAACGCTGTTACCTTCCCACTGAAGTGGTATCTGTTAGTCTACTCAGATTTGCATGCCTTCAAACTGCTAGGTGGGCAGGAACAGGAGCTCATCCTGTCACACAGAGCTAGGGTCTCAAACCTGTGTGTGCTTTCCAGCTGACAAGCTCAGTGTTTTTAACCACTGAGCCATTGCGCCCCTAATTTAAGGATATATATATTCAATAATAAACATTTTCAAAAGAAATATGATTACGTGGGCGATGAACTTTGGATACCCTATAGAATTAAACAAATGGGAAAAACTATGGAAAATTAACAGTAAATTAACCTTATCAGTACCGTACAAAGAAAATATTTACAAGATATTTTATAGATGGCATCTCCCACCGGCACGAATCTCCAAAATGTTTCCCAATACATCTTCACTCTGCTGGAAATGCAAAGCGCAAAAAGGGACATACTACCACATGTGGTGGTCGTGTCCCAAAGCCAAACAATTCTGGAATAATATCAAAACCCAATTGGAACAAATAACAGCCCAAAAAGTACCACTAAGACCGGAAACATATTTATTAGGCATATTTACAAGTAATTACGACAGAGAAACAATATACTTGATCACACATATTTTGACTGCCTCAAGGATCACTTATGCACAAAATTGGAAATTGGAAGAAGTCCCAACACAAGATAGAATAATATCTAAAGTCATGGAATGTGCTGAGATGGACAGACTCACCAAGGAAATTCAAGGAAAGGAAGAATTTGACTACTACCTGGTTTGGCAAAGGTGGTATCAATGGTTAGAGGGGAAAACCAAAACCAAAAGAGGATCCTAAAAGAGTAAAATAAAATTCTGTACCAAATAAGATATAACAACCCATAATTAAAGATTAAAAAATAATATCGTTATATAAGGCGAGAGGAAGGAATATATATTGAGGAATTTAGATTATTGATGTCGGATAAAATCAGACACTACGTTTAGATGTCATTTATGTTATTAATGTCGTATTTGTCACATTTGTATGTGTATGTGTTTTTTGTGTGTTTATATATGTAATAAAAATCTAAAAATAAAATAAACATTTTCAAAAGATTACTGAAATCTGCTTTTAAATAAATAAAAAAAATGTTTAGTACTTTATAAACTTTGCAACTATATTAATTATACTTTAGCAGGAACTCTAGAAGCTAGGAAAAACAATGTAAGTTAGGATCCTGAGTGAGGTATGCTTCTAACGCCACGTTATGTCTGGAGGCAAGCTGCTGAGGGTTCAAATAAGGGCATGGTTAAGTATATTCAAATACTGGCTAAAGATTAATTTCCAACCAAAAGGCTTGACCTCTCTTATTTTGTTTGACATATGTCATTATACCTGGAAGCAACAAATTGGAGATAAAGTTCAAAAATTGGGCTAAGCACCAGAAATTTCTTATGGAATATATATGCCTCAGGTTTTATATGTGATATTGGGTCAATATTAATTGTATATTCTTTCATGCTAAAATATTCCCTGGCCCTGTAAAATTTTATCTTAAAAAAATCATTAAAATTTTGCATAATACTGTAGGAAATCTTTATTACATACAGTATCTTTTGCTTGCATTCACAGAATGTTATACAGTACTTTGGTTTTAAAGCAATATCAAATAAAATGAGAGTTCCTATATATAAATGAATTTCCCGTCCTATTCAAAAATTGTGCTATTTAAGTCAATGTGATTTATAACTAAGGTAGGAAGAAGAGAAGGAAAATTGTGCAATATGTTATATTTTCTTTTTTGCTTTCTTTTGACTGCATTCTTTTCCAATTAAGGTCAACACAGAGAAGGAAGATAATTCTATTATGGCTATTCCCATAGCAGTTATTGATTGTGACCTCTTGCTATATGGACGTGGACATAGGACACTGGATCGCTTCAAGCTGGAGGATGTTACTGACGAATATCTTGTATCTATGTATGGATTTCCACGTCAGTTTATTTATCATTTGGTGGATCTTCTAGGTGCCAATCTTTCTCGTCCTACTCAACGATCCAGGGCCATCAGCCCAGAGACACAGATTCTTGCTGCACTAGGTTTTTATACTTCTGGCTCATTTCAGACTCGCATGGGAGATGCCATTGGCATTAGCCAAGCATCTATGAGTCGCTGTGTTGCCAATGTTACTGATGCCTTGGTGGAAAGAGCCTCTCAGTTTATTCATTTCCCAGAGGATGAAGTGTCAATACAACATATGAAAGATGAATTTTATGGGCTGGCAGGTATGCCAGGCGTACTAGGATTGGTTGATTGCAATCATGTAGCAATAAAGGCGCCCAATGCTGAGGATTTATCGTATGTGAATCGAAAGGGCCTTCATTCTTTAAATTGCCTGATGGTGTGTAATGCCAGGGGAAGGCTGCTAAGTGCGGAAACACACTGGCCAGGAAGCCTGCAGGACTGCACTGTGCTTCAGCAGTCGGCTCTAAGAAACCAATTTGAAGCTGGTATGCAGAAAGATGGCTGGCTACTTGGTAGGTTCATGCTGATCGCTATTCCTCTAAATCTGTTTTGAATAAAGTTCTAATTGATTTATTGACATGTAAAGTAACCCAAATGTAGTTGTATCATAAAATGCCTTTTATAAATATAAATGTAGCTTAAGATGTATATTTTGTTTCCTTTGCTAGGATTTCAGATTAAAATATCGGTTGCTGAAAATAAAAGTAAAATCTTTTGCTATTTATTAGGAATCTCATTTTTTTCTTGATTTTACAGGTGATAATTCGTTCTTTCTTCGCACTTGGCTAATGACTCCTCTGCATATTCCTGAAACACCTGCAGAGTACAGATATAATATGGCGCATTCAGCAACTCATAATATTATTGAACGAACATTCAGAACACTCCAGGTTCGGTTCCGTTGTTTGGATGGATCAAAAGGGACATTACAGTATTCTCCAGAAAAAGCAGGTAACATCATCCTTGCTTGCTGCGTCCTTCATAATATCTCTCTGGAGCATGGGATGGATATATGGTCTTCCTCATATTCAGAACAAGTGGAACATCCAGAGGAAGAATATGAGCACATGGAATCTCTTGACTCTGAAGCTGACAGAGTTCGCCAGGAATTATTGCTTACACATTTTAGTTAACCAAATTTGAGAATATCAAGTTGGTTTTAAGAAAAAAGATAGAAGGAAATATAGTTTGAGGGTTTTTTTATAGAGTTTGCCAAAAGGATAATATTATTTATCAGTACTTTGCAAAAATAACATTGAATGTGTCCATCTCTTAAATATTTTGATTCTACTGTACATGTTGCATCTATGAAATACATGGTTGTCTTCAATGTCCATCTTTATTAAAAATAATTAAAGATATACAGTAACATAAAATCTAATAGGTTTATTTTCCTGATAAAATGCTTTATTTTGAAGTTTTGCAAAACGTGAAATTTTGTTTTCTTTGAAATTAAATTCAAATTAAGTTCAGATGGCTATTTGCAATTTATTGCTCACTATCACAATTATATAATTTATTTAGCTGCATAATTTAAACTGCATTTTACTTATCAACTATTTGTGTAAAATAACATTTGTGTTGAAGTATAAGAGTTCTCAAAAGATGTATCACTTCAAAATTCGTATTCTCTTATACTAGCATCTTGGCATCACACTCAAGAATGTAGGTCACATGGATTATATCAAGAAATATTTCATAACTTGCTTCTTCCTCCATGTGACACCTATGAGCAAATCTGAATACACCTTAAATGACTGTGATAATTACTAAAAATCTGTGTGAACTTATGTGGTTCTAAAAAAAGCAAATTCAGATCTAATCAGCATCTAATAATAAAAATAATAATAATATTTTTTTAAGCACATAGAGAAATCTTACCTTATTTTGCATTGGCCAGATCTCACCTTGACTACTATATTCAGTTCTGGCAGTGCACTTTAATATAAAATTGGAGAAATTGGAAAGGTTCAGAGAAGCGCAACAAGAATGATCAGAGAATTAGAAATTAAATCCAATCTCTTGAATTTAAATGCAATTTTAAGAGTGGGAAACATTACCCAGAGACATGATTCAACCCTTAGACAGATATCTGTCACAGGTGCTTTAATTTAGATTCCTGACCTGCTTCCTAGACTATAAATGGCTCCTTTTAGTTCACTGATTCTGTAACTAACCTAGCAAATCCAGATCATGTAACCAACTATTAAACCCAAAGACTGTGATTAATTGGGCTAAGAATGCAGATGGTCCTAATTTAACAATTACTCATTCAGCAACTGAACTTGCAATTAATAGTTACAACTGATCCTCGAAGTTGTGGCTGTCAAAGTGTCCCTGTGCCGACTTGATTATACTCCGAACATTGAACAACCAGCCTGGATTTCTGACCATCACAGCATCCCATGGTCATGTGATTGTAATTTGTGATCTTCCCTGCCAACTTCTCACAATCAAAGTCAATACAGATGCTGACAGGAAGCTGGAAGTACCGTAGCAATCATGTGAAGGCCTTGCTTATTGATCCAGATGGCTCTCGCTAAATGATGGTAACAGGACTGCTGCAATTGCCATTGCTAAATTGCCTGGATACATTATGATTTATGTTGCATCTCTTAGTTACAAAAATTCCAGTCCCAATTATCTTTTTTGGGTGAGGATTACCTGTACTAAATCAAGTAACTTCTTTATTAAATCAATTTATATGGCTATCTACATTGTGAATGTGACTCAGGGCAACTACAATATGTTAAAATAATTAAAATAATATTGGCAAAAAATAAACAATGGTCCCTCAGGATAAATCAAAATAAAGCAATTAACAGAGACGATTTAACAAGCCATCTAACCTCCTGATCCCCAGGCCCTGGAACACACCCAGGTCTTCAATGCTTTACAAAATGTTAGTAGAGTCAAGGCCAATCGGATTTAAAGCTGTATGGAATTCCAAAGAACAGGTGCTATAACAAAAGATATCCTTCCAAGGTCTCACATGATGACATCATTTTAACTGAAGGAACCTGAACTCTTCCTGTCAGACCTAGTGAGATGAGTAGAGACAACAGGGGAGAAGTGGTCCCTCAAATAACAGAGTTCTATGCCATGGAGGACTTTATAGGTGACAACCAGCATCTTGAATTCTACATGGAGGTACACTGAGTTACTATACATTGTGGAGCAGAGGTGAAATTGTATTTTTCAGCTTGTTGCTAGATAAAAAATGTTGCTAAGAAATAAAAAAAACTTAGAAGATTACAACCAGACATTTGGATGGCACAGATACTTATGGTAGCATAAAGTTAAAATTAATGTGGATTTTAAAAATAATTTTAGGGTCATTGATGGTCTCTGGCTTCATGGTTTTCTTGCAGACCTTTCATTACCAAAATAGATATTAATGCTACCATAGTTCAATCCAGGACTACAAATATTCTCTTCTATTGAAAAATCATTTTATTAGATGTGCCATATTGAGAATATGGAGTAGATACTAAGTTTGTGTCAAACACTTATGAGGATCTCAGTACAATAAGCATTCCATAGAAGAAAAACGGCAGGCAATGACAAATGATTAACATACCGGGAATTATTGGAAAAATTACCCAGGGGAATATAAGATTAAATCAAGACAGCAACTGACGTTCCTGAAAATAAGTACGTGTACCTTTTTGTTATAAAAAGTAGCAAAATAAAACGCCTAAAAAATTTGAGATGCAAAGCACATAGTCATTTTGTCTATAAATTTTCAGTATGTTAGGGAAATAGAATATGATGAACGTTAAATGATGAACGCGCTCTACATGGGGTTACCCTTGAAAAGTGTTCGGAGACTACAGTTGGTTCCAGAATGCAGCCGCGCGAGCTATTGTGGGTGCACCTAGATACATCCACATTACAGCAATTCTCTGCGAGCTGCACTGGCTCCCTATCGGTCTCCGGACGCAGCTCAAGGTGTTGGTTATTACCTTTAAAGCCCTACATGGCTCAGGGCCAGGTTATCTTCGAGACCGCCTTCTATCGCATAGCTCCCAGCAACCGGTAAGATCCCACAGAGCTGGTCTCCTCTGGATACCTACTGATGATGAAGTTATTAAGAAAATTATGGAATGTGCTGAAATGAGTAAATTGACATTTGAAATTAGAGAATAGGAAGATACACAATACTATTTGATATGGGCTTTGTTTTACCAATGGCTAGATAATAAAGCATGAAGTATGAAATATGAAATTAAGGTAATGATAAAATATATGAAATGTTTTCTTATGGGAGTTAAGCCTTTGTTAAGTAATTGTTAAATGAGAATAATAATATAAAGGGATATATAAAGTTGTCAAATAAGAGAAATTAAATAATTTGTAATTTTGGATATGGGATTATGCACAAAAGAATTTTAACCGATCGACACACTTTCTGTGATTGTATTGAATGACGGTGTTTTTATGTTTAAAAATTAAAAATTTTTTTAAAAAAAGAATATTCTATAATAAATAATTTTATTCTGCATTCTAATAAGATATTTTATTTACCAATTAAAATACATTTTAGTTTGATTTATTAATTAGCTAAATCCCCACACAGAAATCTTTTAAAAGACAGGTGGACACAGCCCCATAGCATAAGATAATTTTAAAATTACATGAATGAGTTTTCTTTTTAATCAGAAACTATGGATATGTCTTTTGAAAGATAGGGAGGAGGGAGAAAGAGAGAAAGAAAGAGGGAAACGCGTTGCAATAAGCATTGCTTATTGTTATCTTCTGGCTCCCCTCCACCTGAGGTTTGGCGAGGATCAAATGACATCAGGACTGAAAGATCTATATCTTGCATATCCCGCTTTCCTCTTTTCCTTTCGAAGCCCACAGGATCTCCCTCCCGGAATCCCGCCCGTCAGCTCCGCTCTCTTTCCGACTCCTCCGTTCGATTGGCTCGGTGTTCGTTCGCGACGGCTCCAGGCTCGACTGCGAGGGCGCTCGGCTAGGCGCACTGGCCTTGATAGTAACCCGGAGAGGCAACGACGAGAGAAAAGCTGCATTGGGAAGGAGAAGGCGGGGGAGATCGTCGCCGGATTTGGGTTGTTTTCCTCCCCCTGCTCCCCGAAATCAGATCCCGGCCAGTTCGGTAACCGTCGCTCCCCTCCCCAAGAAAAAAAAAAATACGTCCGGCCGTTTTTTGGGGGGGCGTTTGAGTGCGCCGCCGGGCCTTGGTCGCCGCCTGCCCCAGGTAGGCTCCGGGCCTAGAGATTCTGGGCCTGCTTCCCCTCCTCCTGGGAGAGGCCACAGTGGCGATTTTCGAGGGGAGGGTGGAGAGGGCCCAGGGGGCGCCGAGGGTCGAGTCTCCTGGGCTACGAGGCGTTAAGGCCTAGCCTGGCGTCTTAAGCCCTCCAGCCCGCCCACCTTGAGCACCCGTCCTTCGGTCGAGGAACCTACCCTCGCATCCCCCCCCTCCCCTCTTCTCCTCGGGCAGACTTTCAGGAATATCGGTGCCACGAATTGGTGGGGGTGGGGGGGGGACTCCGAGGGCCCAACCGCGGGTATTTTCGTGGCGGTCAGCCTCCCTCCGAGCGAGAGAGGCCTCTGTTTAAACAGCCAAAGCTGGCTGGCTTTGTTTTTTGAGGCATATTTTAATTCCCCCCCCCCCCCCCCCCCCTCTGTGTTTTTTTTTTTTTTTGTTTGTTTTTAGCAAATACACGTACGTAATCTTTCCTGCTTCCTTCTGTTCTTTTCCTTTTCCTGCTTCTCTGTTCCTCTTTGGAGGCAGAGATGGATGGGGTGGTTGTTTTGCTTTGGCTCCCGAAGAGGAGAGGAGTTTGACTTAATGCTTTGCTAGAAAAATTCTCACAGGCTTTTTTCCCCCCCTCTGTTCTCTTTTACCAAGAGGTGTTTTTTGGGTTGTTTTTTTTAAAAAAAAGTGGAGAGCAAATAGGTAACCCTGTGTGTGTTTATTTTAATGAGAAAGCACAGTGAGACATAACCTGTGTAATGACAATTGCAGGGTAGATCGACTGTTCGCCCTTTAAAGAAGGGTTGCTGCTCATTGTGAGACAATAAATGCAATCTCGCCCATCCCAATCTCCCCAACATCATATGGTAAGTTACAATTATAACCATGCAGCTTCTTTTATATAAAAGGAAACAAGGTCCTTTTCTTTAATGTCTATATTCCTGCTGGAATGTATACAAAGGAAACTTTTTTAAAAATATGGTCTTTTTGGAACCGATCTAAAATAAATTCTCCCTCCCAACCGTCGTTTTAATGATGTAATAATATGAGTTGCAAGGATCCCAGCACTACAACTCAGTTGCAAAAAAAAAACAACAAACCCTCAATGTGTTGCCAATAGAGAACTGTGTTATTTTCCTGTCAGCGTTTTTGCTTTTAATCACACCCGTAAATCTTAAGAAAAGCATAAGGGTATGCTAATACTAACCCTTAAGCAAAAAAGGTTTAATTCTTCTGCTTCAAGGTATTTTG